CATTTCAGTTTTCGGGGGGGGGGGTTGACCAATGAATTTTTGAGAAATTTTCACCAGAAGCAGACCACCCCTAAAATGAAGAAAATGTCCCTGCCCAGAAAAGCAGCCATTTTGAAAAACCATCCCTCTGCAAAACGGCCATATAGTGCCATTTTTGGACCCAACTGCATCCAAATTACTCAGAATTTGAAGCCCAGAGTCCGGGACAGGGACCATATTTCTCCAATTCCTCAATTTCATGGCTCTCAGGACTCTCTAATATAGAATATTTTGAATAACTTTTATTAATGAGCTCGGCGGACATATTCAGGGCCTTTTTGCGAGGGTGCACCACTAACGGACTCGTCCCTAGCTGCTCAGGGACTCTCCGCCATGCCGTCCGACGCGCCGCGCCTCGAGGAGGAGGAGGGCGCCTTCGCCTTCGTCGGAGGAGTGCGGCGTCACAATATGCTTTTTTCCCTGCATGCTTGTAATGATAGACTATGTACAATAATATTATCAAACTTAATACACTAGTTCCCATTATCTGTTTTTACAAAATCAATGCATGAATGATTTTGATTGGGATTCCTAAAAAAACTAGGCTCAGTTATAAGTGTCCTTCCTCCGTGATTACATTGTGATACATTTGGAAATTAATCCTTAGTCCATGGAAATACACTGTTACGTCCTGCACGTTCAGTTATAGCCGTAGATGAAATAATTCGTTGCAGCAGGAGGATATCACGCAATTTTCAGAAATAATGAAGATTAATTTCCTTTGGCAGCTTCATGAGGGTTGACTTTTTGAGCAGCATCTGACAGAAAAATTTGAATCATTAGGAGTAAGAAGGGGTGCCCATAGTGGCTAGGGAGTGGCCCATAATGAAGTGGCATCCTATCCAGGTGAAAATAGAAAATATGTGGTTTCATAACAAGGAAACTAGATACATGCACAAACATTCATCTGACAACTCAATTGGCTCAGGACCAGACTTAGGGGTGATTGACACGGATGGCCTGAGTGCTGATGGACTATGGTTACAGGG